AACAGAATCTTATTGGGGACTTTCAGACAAGAACATGTGGGCTTTATTTTTACTGGACAAAGTGAGTGGGAACGGAAAAAAAATGTTTTTCTTTCTTTACTTGCAATCTCATAGGATCAAAGGGCTCCTTGTATTTGCCTCGGTCAATAGGTTAATTGTGAAGGATCCTTCCTACATTCCCTTATATTCCCCCTTTCAATCTAAGACTGTTCAGCACTAATAACTTAGTGTCTCTGATGTTAAATATAGTGCCTCTCACATACAAGTACTTTCAACTAATTTTCAGCTCTTGAAATATTGAGTATAGTGGAAGCCTCTTTCCAGGATCAGACCATCTAGCTTAGCCCTAGCTTATTTCATCCAACAGCAATCATACACACCCACAAAATAGTTCACCTATTTAGCCTCCAACTTCAAATAGATGAAATACCTAAGCCCTCCTTAAAACTTCATTTTTCTGTTCGCCTGGAAATGTCTCGAAGCTCGTTAAAATAAGTAAAAAGTTGGGACGTGAATATAGATGTTATATATAGAAAGAGGAGGAAAGAGGAGGGGAGAGGGGGCTATAAAATAGAGGAGGAGGAGGAGGAGAGGAAGAGGGCAAGCGGTTATGGGGGTAAAAGGATTAAAGAATAAAAACACTTAAGAAGAGGAAAAACACTTTTCTTTAAAATAAATATATTTATGATCTTTTGGTCAAATGAGATAATATATGTAAAATACTTTATATCTGTAAAGTCTTACATAATTTATTATTTAATATATAAACACATAATAATTTAATATAAATATATTTACTATAATAAGACTTTTATAGAAAATATATTAATATTATATATAAATGATACTTTTTATTATTTTAATTATTTTGTGAAATGATTGAAATAGCCTCCATTTTCATCTACAAAGAAGCTTAGCATTTTAAAAACTTTTTTTCTCATGACTTTTTTTTTGTTTTTTTGTTTTTTTGTTTTTGTTTTTGGCTAGGCAATGGGGTTAAGTGACTTGCCCAGGGTCACACAGCTAGTAAGTGTTATGTGTCTGAGGTCAGATCTGAACTCAGGTCCTCCTGAATCCAGGGCTGGTGCTCTATCCACTGTGCCACCTAGCTGCCCCTCTCATGACTTTTTAATGAAGTTAAACCAGCAGTAAAAAGAACCTAGCTTACCCCAATAGTGATGAAATAGAGGGAAGAGATCATTGAGTGACCTGGTCCCATATTGAATAGGGAAAAGTCCCCAAACACACAGACAGAGCCTGTGTGAGCCTGTATTTTAACAATTCAATGGTATATTTTGATGTTCTGTAGTGTATTTATCCATTCATTCATTCAAATTAAGATTTGCTACTGTGTATAGGGTCCTGTGTGATTTTTCTTTCATTCGAGAATGAAAGCTCAATGATGAGCATTTAATGTCACTGTACAGGCTAAATCTAGAGATTTTTCTTGTCTCTCTAGGCTTCCATTTGGCCCAGGATATAGAATTTTGAATGGAATGGAAAAAGAACAATAGTGCAGCAAAGGCCCTTAAATGGAGCTGGGGACCTGGGTCCTAGTTCGATTTCCACCTCTAGAAAAGCTGTTTTCACGATAACCTTGGCCATGGTCCTTAGAAGAGAATTATGTTAGCCTCTATTTCTTTATCTCAGGGACTGGAAGAAAATGTTATCTAAATTCCCTTCCAGATCTAAGAACCTAAAAGTGTATGAAAATTTAAATCCAAGAACAATAGTAAACAGCACTTCCCTCCAAGAAAAATTGGCGGATATTCAGTTGACTGAGAGTTGGTCATAACACAAGACAACTTCAGAAAATTAGAAAGAAAATAGTTATAGAAGGAAAAAGCCCAATGAAATTTGAGCTTATTTTGCAGAAAACAACATAGAAGCTTTTTGAGTAAGTTGCCCACCCAATCCGATAAACATTTATTAAAAAACCCATGTTGTGCAAGGCACTCTGTCAGATGCTGGGGATGCAAGGACAAAATTGTAAAAATCCCTTCTCTCTAGGAGGTTATTTTCTACTAGATGATACATCATCAAGGAATAAGCATTTATTGAGTATCCCATGCACTGTCCTAGGTACTAGTGATACACAGACAGAAAGGGGAAAATGTCCCTTTTTTCATGGACCTTATATTTTAATAGGACAGGCAATATGTACTCAGAATATCATAGCATCGCATTCAGTATCAGAGATCCAGAGCCAGAAGGTATTTCATAAATCTTCTATTGAAATGCTTTCGTTTGGAAATGAACAAAGGCCCAGGAAAGTTATTACCTGAGGTTACACTGGTGGTCTATACCAGACTTGGGATTTGAACACAGACTCCCTGATTCCAGTGCCAGGTTTTCTTTCCCCCATGATATAATTATATATGTATGTATACAATAGATATATTGTATATATATGTATACATATGTATACAATAGATGTATTGTATACATATGTAAGTACTACTTATATATAA